TGTATTGGGAGCTCATGGATGTTAAAGTTTATAGAAACGTGAGGTTTCCATATTATACTTTCAAACTCTCCCATACCTTGTTGAATGCTGCATGTACATCAGGTAATGTATGTAATAAACTGTCATGTTTGTTTCCTTTCATAAAGTTCAACAACAAACTGTAATGATATGTCATAATGACAATCAATAAGATTCAATCAATAACAATGTGCCTTGCAAATTGTGATCAAAATATTTTTGTAATAATTTCTGTTCAAATGAAAAGTGTTAAAAATTATAATGCTGAAGCGTGGTCACATTTGAATAAGATTTATTGCCAGTTGAATTTGAGATTGCAATGTTTCAGACTGAATTTAAGCATGTACACTAACCTCTACATATTTCTTAATTAAATTTCCCTAAATAGCAGTTTCATTTTTTAAACACTTTTTCTGATCTTTTTTTATTCCTTTTTTTTTTCAGCTCATCAGGCCAACTCAACACCAAACATTCCACCACCATTATACTCATCAGATTTACCACCACCCTACACTGAGTAAAGAGTGTTTACAAAAAGGAGAATTATTTGTGTAAATACTTATTACTCGGTGTATATATAGTAAATGGTAAATCCAATTATGGCTGGAGACTATTGGAATGATATCCTTAAGAGAGAGAAAAATTGTTATGATCTCTCCCTTGGCTGCTCAACAAATATTTTAAGAAAATAATAATTTGTATTTAGATGTAAATTATACATAATTGAATTTTTAGCTAATTGAAGTTTATGGCCCAGGTTTGGCAATCGAATGCTTTTCATGGCAGTTAGTGAATAGGTCCCAGTTGTTCAGAGGCAGGATAATGCTATCCAGCGGATAAATTGTTATCCAGATGATAAGTGTTAACAAACCACGCCATCTGCTGGATAGTGAATTATCTAGTGGATAGCATCATCCACCTTTGAAACAACCTGAGCCTGAACTTTTAGGCACTTCAAGAAGATTAAGACATTGTTCATGCATAAGAGGACGAACAAGATGATCTAGAAAGAAGAAAATGAATTTACAGTACTACAATAAATAAGATAGAATTATTGACTGAATAAGAAATTTGGCGCATTTGAAAACATTTGTGTAGATATTTGTGCCTTATAAGTTTTGAAATTACTAAATTTGCCTTTCTTATTTTCATGATTTGTAATTGTATAGCTACAGAAAACTGAAGATAAACATTTATTTATTTTAACAGTTCAACTGTAGAATACTTGAAAAGTTGAATGTACAGTTTTCACTTTTTAATATAAACATTGAAGTGGAAGTTGTGAGATCAGTATTTCAAAGTTCTTCAGTTTAGAAATCAGTTATTGTTTAAACTTTAAACGTGCTAAGTAATTTAAAATGAGGGCCTCCCAGAGGGCCCTTAGCATGTTCCCTTGATCCGGTTAAAAATTCAGATTTTTTTGTTCTTCCAATTCATAAATTCCATTATTCTCTTAAGACAATAAAAAGTGGAATTAGTTACAGAGTGTCGAGTGAAACATTTTGCGTGTTTTACAAAATTATGAAAGAGTGGCAGCAGCATATTCATAAGTACAAGATTGCAATTATAGTTACATTTAATGGAATGTTAGTGTCAAACAATTATGGTAAAACTATTCAGTTTCTAAAATGGATACTGTCTACAAACTTTGACGTCCAAATTAAAATTTTATTGATGTTCTTTAAGTGCTGAGGAGAGTATGGTTTGATTTTCATACATTTGCTGAATTTTGGCACAATAATCTGCAAACGGCAGAGAAATTCAGATTTTTTTTCATAATTTAATTTCTTCCCACGCATGCAAGTGATTCAGATATTGCGGAAGGGCCTTGTTCACTCAGTTATTGGACAGTATATGTTATCTTATATGCTATGTTGTAGGAGAGTTTCACTTCAAGGGGTTTCATATCTCTTGTGTTGGGCAAACAATCAACTGCAGCTGTGGACAGCTAGTTTGTTTCCCAAAGGAGGGGGAGACTCGCCTATGAAAAGATCGCGGACACTCATCGGAAAATTTGAATTAAACCCCTAAAGGAGACTGACACTTTGATAACAACCACACACTGCTAGGTTGTGCTCATTACAATAGAAGAGACAGTGAGCAGAGTAGCAAACAAGAGAACGGCATTTATGATAGAACGCTGGTAGATTTATACTAAGAATGGACAGTTTCTGATTAATTGCAATTCAATATACATCGCCACCAGTAACCTGTCTATGGCAGCATGTCGTATTTTGTTACACATCTTGAGTTGTTTCGTCTAGTAACATTACCGTGTAACCCCTGCCCAAAGTCAGCCCACCCCACAATATATCCTGGGTGTGGATATTCCTTACAGTGCATGCTTAAGCTGGTAATAACGCTGTCTTCCAAGTCAGCGTTCCAGATGTACAAGTGGGTCATTTCCCCAATAAAACTCTGTGCCAGATCGAAGGCGCCTCCGATAACATCCTGGTCTTGTCCCACAATAAATTTCCCAGAACCAGGAATCACTCCATGTATTGATTTGTCACCAGTTAGCTTGTTCTCTCCGTCCACAAACAATTTTACGACACCGTCACGATTGGCCCATTTGCCGCACAAATGGTGCCAGGTTCTATCGTTAACATATCCCGTCTGACCATGTCTGTAAAATAAAACACTTCCCGTGATTAAACTGAAACTAGAGTCGAACCCCCAATTTACGTACCCCATCAATGGAAATAAGAGTGGCTTGAAGGGTTAATTACCTACTCCACTGGGAAAATGACATTTGCGTCACTAGCAATGGGAACGACAAACAAAAACGGGGAAATCAATGGGACTGGGGATTGGGCAAAAAAGAGGCTGACAAATGGGATTTGGTCAAATTTTAGGCTTGGATATGGTATTTAGAAACCCACCCACCCAACTTTAGGACCCTCAATTAAATGCGCTCTCAAACCTTGGCAAATCTGAACGAGAGTCGACGCTGAGATTTCGCATTCACACGATGCCAACTGCATTATCCCAGCACGTCTGAAAGAGGCACTCCTCTTTAAACGGAACAGGTAAATTCTTTATATTCGCCTGGGATTCGATAAAAAACGCACTAATACGGACAGATTTCCTCCAGCTAGTGTGTTTACTCGATCCCCTTAGCGGAGGACCCCAAGAGGTAATATCTTTCTATTACATCACCAAACACTGCGATCGGTACACACCACCATAAAAGGAAAACAAGCGCTTACAGAATCTGACAAGGCTAGGGAAGTGTAAATTAAAAAAAAAAAAAAAATTGAAAACGTGTGACTTCCAAGGGTTAAGAGAACAAGGGAACATGTCTTACATTTCAAGGGAACAAGGAATAGTGTTGGATCATTTTTAACTCGTGATTGCGATAGCAAGTTACGAGCTGTAGTGTGTGATCAGATTATTGGAAACAAGGTATATCTTTACTATCACGTGAACTTTGCGCGATAAAATAAAATTCGCTATTTAAGTTCGTTCTTCTTTTCGTTTGCTCCCTCACTCACTCGTTTGTTTGTTTGCTCACTTACACTTGTTCATCAAGCACCAGAAATCGAAACAATCCAGTTGAAGACAGAAACATCATGATGGCATCGGTGAAGGATTCCGTGGCGTAAGACAGAAAAACCAGCTGTTGTTCCCAAGCTCTGAACCAAAGGCACACAGTGAAGGCTGACAGATCTTGTGCAGACATGTCAAGTTCGACAAAGTTTGTTGTGTTGCGATCTTGAAATAACAGGTCAAAAGAAGGGCTGGAATCTGTTGGTTAAATCACATGACGAGAAAGACTTTATAAAGGATTTGACTCAAACATATATCACCTCGTTCGACATTCAATCGCAGTTTGAACTTTTCTTTCTTTTCTGTGATTAGACTGAGTTATGTCTCCAAACATTGTTAGACTTCTGTAGAAATGACGTCGTCATTCGATGCCATCGTGAATTAGCTATATGCCCTCGGCAAATGAGAGTAGAAATAGTGACCAAATGTATTACGTATGTCTCTTTGATATGACCCCAAGGGCTAACTCTCAAAACGTCAGCTTCACAAACCCGCCACGGCGTTTCATTTATATTATAATTACATAGCTGTGTTAGTTCTTTTTCCCGCCTACATAGCCCACCCAGTTTCTTTAGAAACTATAATACCTTTGTGTATTGATACTATATCGTGTTTATTTATACCTCCTCCGTTCTTCATGTTACAAAAGGTGACATACGGGTCCTCAGTTCCATTGGAATTCAACCAGTAAAACCCATTCGCTGCAGAATCCTCTTTAGATAAAATTTCCTCGCATGTTCTGCCTGCTACAGATCTTTGTGAGCCTAAAGATACTGAAAGAATAAAAACAAACAAGACAAAGCCGGAGATGACACCAGGTTGTATAATCATGGAAAATTTTTTTTAGCCTGCTCTCGAAAGGACAAATTTAACCAACAGTTCAACCCCATATAATTTCTCTTGAAACTTCTGTTTCGGTCGTTTAACGTGCTCAAGAATTTTTAAATACATGGTAAAGTTCACAAGAGGCACAGCTATCTAAAAGCTGCAGCTAGCTGCAAAAGACTGTCTTTATGAGTATTCTGATCGATCTTGCGTCGTTATTCTGGTTACATATCACAGAAATAGTTCTTTTTTCTATTAGTAAAAGTACTGCAAGTCACAACTTTGAAGTTTCGTCCTTTTATATTAAAGCGATTCAGCCGTGGAGCGAGGTTAGAAAGTAATAATATTGCTTACGTATACTGGATCGCCTTTCCATAACGTTTTTAGATAAAAAGAAAACTCTCTTTACTTATTTACGCCGTAGAAGAATATATATGTACGTCAGTAAAGGTTTTTGTCTAGTGCGCACTGAGAGGTGAACTATATATAAATTCAAGCTAGAATGTTCCAATATTATCATTTACCTCGGTAACGGCTTTCAAGATATAACGAGAGGGGATTTTCCATTATGTCGTTGGGTTGTAACGTCCTGGTTGCATTATTAAGCTCGCAGCGCGTTTGGTCGCCATGGTAATTCAAACTGCGACACTTCGGTTCATCTGCCTTACATTTCTCGTAGCACTGTTGAAAGTCCTGCACGGAGAAACTTGCGTACACATGTCCAGTGAGGTACACGCCTGTTCCTGATGTTACGTTGCAATCAGCGCTCGCTTCTGCCGATGTGAAAGTGATAGCGAGATCTACTACGACACTAATAAGAACTTGGAAAACGCCAGGAAATCCCATCTCTACACAAAGGCGAGACCGTACGTCGCAGGACGTCTGGGCGAAAATTTATTCAATGAGGCTTTCCTAAAACGATAGTAATTAAAAAATTAAAAATTTACGGTTATCTTTTCAGTCCTTTAGGTATAAAAACGTCCCTTGTGTAAAATTAATTATTTGGAAGTAAACACCATTGTTTTAAGTGATTGAATCGGGAAAATGTATAAGGATATTAAATCATAAAGAGGTAGGATAGAGGTTTTCATTTTATTTTCAGAATGTGTGGTGATTCCGGCAAACCATTCAGTTTGTTTAACATAAATTCTACGGACTGTCAAATTCAGTTTAAGATAACCTAAATCAACAGTGTAGCTTCACATCTGAAAACTAGTTTGTGGCGATCGCTAAATTTGTTTGTGTCTTTATATGCACACAGTTCTCTTTCCACAGAGCATAAATAATATTGATAATGAATTCAATTGGGTAAATAATTCTAAATCCAAGTTATGCTTTTTAATCAAGAATGCGACCAAGTAAGCGACCACCTAAAAGTCAAGTAAACGATAACTATTTCAACAACAATTGTTCTTGCTTGTAATAAAATATTTTTTGTCTTTTTCAGCAGGAAGAGTCTCTGGCCGGTTGATCGTGCCTTGGCAGAATTA